TGTAAGGTCAGCCTGGGCAATTTAGTGAGATGTTACTCCAAAATAAGAAGTGAAAAGGATTGGGGATGTAAGTTGATGGTGGAGTGCACCTGGGTTCAATCCCTAGTATTGCAAAATGAAAAGGCTAATTTTATTGTAGGTATAAGGGAAGGACATGCTAAGATTAAGAGGTGACATGATTATTGTTGTATCTTATGGAGGTAACATTATTGCTCCTGAATGAAGTTTGATAGTGGCTCTAAAATTGCTCTAAAAGACATTTGAAATTCATGCCTGAAATTCTAGAGCTGGGGTTGTTATATCTCAGTGGTAGAGTGTTTGCCTAGTATGCCTGAGACCCTAGATTTAATATCCAACAACATGCAAAACAAAACATAAAAATAGAAAGTTTAGCTAGATGTAGAGGTGTATACCTGTAGTCCTAGCAACTCAGGAGGCTGAGACAGTTGCTAAGTTTGAATTCAACAAAAGTTAATTTAAATTTGATATAACTAATGACTGCCATTTGCACATGTATGGTAGCATATAGTTTAGTTTTCAGATTCTAATCCTAGATATTTAGAGAAAGAAATGGGATTATGCAGAAAATGGTGCCCAGGGACTAATCCACACATCCCCATTTATGTGCACATCCCCACTATTTCTGCCCCATTCTCATAACCTTAAAACACAAAATATATAAACAGAGGACAACATACTACATTTCACTGAGACTTTGGAATGGATATGAAGTTTCCAGCTTGCTTTTTTTTTTTTTTTTTTTTGGTACCAGGGATTTAACCACTAAGCCCAGCCCCAACCCCCACCCCCTTTTAAAAAATTTTTGAAACATGGTCTTGCTAGGTTGCTTAAGGCCTTGCTAAATTGCTGAGGCTGGCTTTGAATTTGCAATACTCTTGCCTTAGCGGCATGCCACACCACTTCCAGGAAGTATTCAGCTTCTTAAAAGTCACTAGAGCCCAGATTTTTCAAATGGATAAGTTGTAAGAGGAAATTTTTGTTTTGTTTTTGTGCTGGATATTGAACCCAGAAGGGCTTTACCACTGAGCCACATCCCCATGAGAGCAAGTTTAAGTACCATAAACACATGCATATTACTTTTGTATATAAAACTATAATTTTGTAATATTGAGGACAAGGTCATTATTTTTCAGACAAAATAAGTCTTTAATTTTGAAATGAAAGGTATATACCATAAGTACAGAAACAAAATGCAACAGCACTTTGTTTGAAGGGGAGAAAATTCAATATTATATTTCTTAGGTGGCATTAACGATCAATAACCTGATTGTAGTTCTAATCTCTGCCATTAACTAACAACTGGAGTTTAGTTTCCTCATTTGTATTAAAATTTAGAAATATTCAATTAAACACCTCAAGAATTCTGTTTGCTGGATGTACTATACATGCCTATAGTCCCATCTGTTGGGGATGGGGGCAGGGAGGATTGCTTGATCCCAGGAATACAATACCAGCCTGGGCAACATAGGCTCTCTCCACCCCCAACTCCCCCCTCCCCATTTAAAAAAAAGCTGGCTTTGGTGGTACATGCCTGTAATCCCAGCAACTGAGGAGGCTGACACAGGAGGATCACAAGTTCAAAGCCGGCCTCAACAATTTAGTAATGCCCTAAGCAACTTAGTGACACACACACACCCCACACACCCCCAATCTCAAAAAAATAAGCTGGGTGTGGTGGCACACGCCTGTAATCCCAGTGGCTCAGGAGGCTGAGGCAGGATGATTGCGAATTCAGCAACTCCTTGAAACCCTTTCTCTAAATACAAAAAAGGGCTGGGGGTGTGGTGCAGTGGTTAAGTGCCCCTGTCTTCAATCCTGGGTACCAAATAAAAATAATAAGTTTAAAAAGAAAAATAAAAAGGACTGGGTAGGGATATGGTTCAGTGGTAAAGTGTCCTGGGTTTAATC